CAGACGTATTCCTCTCATTGTCTGGACTATAGAGATACAAGTATTAGTGACTGTGTACACAGCTAGTGAAGGAATCAGAAATAACAGCTGATCATGTGATATACCACCTATGGATTTATGTTATGAGTAAAATGTATAAATTATATTTTGAATTGAAGTTCCTAAGATGTTTCAGTAACTCTTTATATAATGTCAGTAATAATTAACTTAGTACTCTTTTCCAAAGTTTGAATTTTGCCCTGTGAGATATCTGCTTGGGACATATAATTCCACAATATACCTAGTAATGCAATATATTTTTAGAATGTATAGGAAATTCATTTGATATTTTCTAAATTTTCCTTACTAAAAAGTTGGGTTTCCTAAACTCAGATGACTTTTACCTAGAAAAATGTCACGCCCACCCCCCAAAAGCTTCATTCTTTCAGCTGACAGTTTTTCTATTCAGAAACTGCATTACAGGTTGTCAATTCATAATAACCTCCTAGAAGGAGCAAGATACATACAAATGTGTCACCATGAATGTGCAGCATATTGGTGGTTGAGATTTGATTTTAGGAAACATTTAAGATTTATTTCATACATGTGAAACCAAAAGAAAGAATACCCCAAATAAATAGCCATGGAAATTAAACACCTGAATTAGATTTCTCCTAGGAGAAAAGAGTGATTACTCATATCCCAGAGAACTGGAATGAGGTGCCCTGCAGTTACCGGGAGTCTTTCCCTTCCCATTGAACAGATGAGGACCCTGAGCCCAGCAGGCTGTTAGTGCCGCACGGCATGTGTGGACGGCCAGGCCTGATGCCCTAGCTCACGGCGCTTGCTGCCTTGGCAGATGGCCTCTCCTGCTTCCGTTATTTCCATATTTATTAATAGCAATAGCTGATAATTTTTGAAAGCGCACTGTGTCCCAGGCACGGCTGTGCTTACATGTAGTCTCTCATTTATCCCCATCAGGTAGCTAGAACTGTACCCATTTTACAGATGGGGAAACAATTTGTACACAGAGTGAAAAGTAGAAATACTCCCCTTTTTTAGCTATACCTTCTAATTTTTCATCAGTTTGTTTAGATTAAGACAACATTCTGTAACCTTTTAAAATGCAGTTACATCCATAATAGACAACTTTTTTTTAATTATTTTTGTGGTTTTTTTTTAAGATTGATTTATTCATACAAGAACTGGGGTACAGGCCAGAGTTGTGGGAGATGAGAGGATTCACCGGAGACAGTGGGGAACAGAACAGGCTGGTAGACAGACGTATGCTGCTGAGGGGAGCAGCAGGCGAGGGAGGAGAGGTCTGCTGCGCCATGTGGGTAGCTCCCTGGCTGGCTAGGGATCGAACTCACACTGCAGAGGCTGTGGACAGCTTCACAGCGCTGTGCTTAACCCCCTATGCCACCAGGGAGGCCCATGGACAACTTTTTAGCAGAATTCCCTCTGGCATTTAATTGTGATTCTTTGTGTCCCTTTACCTACCCCCATTCTGAGCTTCTTACTAAATGTTCGACCTATGATAAGAGAAAAATAGAATCAAACACAATTTATAAAATATCCCTGAAAGGTTACCGAAGCCCCTTCGCCTTTAGAAGAAGACTTGGTGATAGCAGCTGAGCTATACCTATCCTTGTCTCTTGGAATCTGATAAACAAGTACATGCATTCCACATGTTTAAATTTTAAGACATAGAAACAAAAACTAGCATGCTTATTCCCACTGTGTCTGAAGCTGCATCAGAAGATGTGGGATATTCAGCAGACCGGCTACTTGTGGTGGTTCATAGGCCAGGAAGTTACCATAATCTCACCTGTGTATGCCACATTACAGATTCAGAACTTGCACATGTTCTTTTTGTTGATCTCACAACCTCATCTTCATTTTAAGGTGAGGAAACTGAGCCTCAGGGAGGTGATGTCTTGTCTCAGATCGGAGAGTTCAGTTCTGTGCGCATGATGGTGTGTCTGTCTACCTGCTGTCTCCCTCCCTGGACTCTGAGCTCGGCACATCTGGGCTGTGTGTAGGCCTGTTCTGATCACAGCTCAGAAAGCAGTTGGGGAAACTCAGTCCCCTCCTTCTTTTGCTGTCCTGGGGGTACACCATGAGGGGTTTCACCAAAAAGACAAAACAAGATTTCAGGAAGCTCAAAAAGGGGTGCCATTGTAGAGGCACACAGAGAACAAAGTTAGCTTTCCAGCTTCAACTCCTAGGGAAGGAGGTGGGTTCCAGACCCCAGAGAACCCTGTCCTGGAGCTGGGAATTGATGCTGCGGTGTGTTCCATTTGAGTTAGCTTTAACATTCTACCTCTTTTAAGGCCTTTTCACAAATTTGGTTTTCTGCAAAATATCAGTCGTGAGAGGAGAGAGTTCAAGTGGAATGTGGCATATGTATTGTCAAAGACTAAGTAAATAAAAATAAAAAAATGCCTTGCCAGGTAATAATTGCTCGAGATCTTTTGAATAAGCCTAAGCCTTCAGAAGGTGTCCAAGAGTCAGTGATAACTGAGGATATCAGTTTCTAAGTTCTAAGTCCTTCAGCCTGGACCCTGTGATGGCCGAAAGGAAATGTAATGCTAATCAAAGGACCTGTGTTACTTTCCTTACCTAATAGTCATTCTTTCAAGGAAAGAAGGAAAAACCCAAACAGGCTGTACAGAGTTGAAACACATTTTTTATTAAACAGGACTGTTTGAAACTCATGAGAATTTTATAGTAAACCCTAGATAAATATTTCATGTAACATCTTAAGATGCAATCATTTATAGTAATTTTAGTGCTCTGATTTCTGTTTGTTTTCAGATCTGGAAAAGCAAACATTTTCTCTGATGATTTATATCTGGGGGCTGGCAGTTGAGTCCAATTTCCTAGGCTGATCTTTATAAATAAAGGAAATAGAATGATAAGAACACTCTGCTTATCTTTGTGATATGTCTCTCTTTAGACAGAAGCGCTGTTTAAAGGCTCTTTTCCATCACTGAAGTGTAAACCTTGGCTGTAGCAATTGCCCCGTCCCATCTGACCCCCAGGTTCAAGCTGACCTTGAGCTCAGCATCCTCTTCCCAGGGGAGCCTCAGCAGATTCTTCTCTGGAGGCTCATGCTCCAGGTTCTTCTGTGTAGTAAGCAGAAGCCTGCCAGCTGAGCTCTGCACTCTCCAGCGTTCTAGAACCTTCCCCTGACACAGCCAACTCTCACTCACCCAAATTCCCGGGTTTCTGGGAGTTGTATTCAATCTTGCTTGTGTGTTGGTAGCTTTTCCTTAGCTGCTGATCTTGATTGGGGTATTCTTTGTCCAAGTATACCCCAAGCTGAGTGCTTCTCGGCTCGTTCTGCATTCTCACCCATTTGCCTGAACTGCTCACGTGTGGATGGACCTTGGCTTCCTAGTTCTGCCTCGTGTGTAGATGGATTTCATGTCCGCTGGAGTAAATGCCCACTGAGCGCCTGCCCTGGTGCTCAGCCCTGTCGAGTGCATGAGCCACTTAATATTGCCTATTCAGAAGTAGTCTGTGATACATGCCAGGTGCCAAGTGCTCACAGGGCACTGAGGTGCGGCTGTTTGTATGCACACATCGCCCAGCCCTCCAGGAGCTGCAGTTCCTATGGGAAGAGAGAGGTGAAGGGAGCCAAGAATCAGATACAATGATGTGGTACATATACACCATGGAATATTACTCTGCAATCAAAAAAGATAAACACATGCAATTTGCAGCAACATGGATGGCGCTGGAAGGGATCATGCTCAGCGAAATAAGCCAGAAAGAAAAAGAAAAATACCAGATGGTCTCACTCATAGCAGGAATCTAGAAAACTTAAATAAGGGACCAGGAAAAGGAATAACTATAAGAAAGAAAATATCAAAATCAACAAACAACTATGAACCAGAGACACTCTATGGGGGTGGGGGCGGGGAAAGGAGGAATTGGGGTCAAAATAAGGGGGTTGTAATTGTATGGGGAATATAAAAATAAAATTTAAATTAAAAAAAATAAGGGACCAGGAAAAAGACTAATTAATACAAAGTAAAAATCAAAATCAACAAGCAACTATAAACCAGAGACACACTATGGGCGGGGAAGGGAAGGGGAGAGGAAGGACTAGGGTCAAAATAAGGGGGGGGCGCAATTGTATGGGGAATATAACCAAAATGATATTGTATACATTGTGCAAAAATGAAAAATGATGCAAGAATTATATAAAATAAAATATTAATTAAAAAAAGAATTTAAATCACTAAAAATGATTAATTATAGATGACTAAGTAAATGGTTAAAGTAGTAAATTATAGAAATATACAAATATGTATATAGACAAGGAAATGGATTTTCTTATGTAAAACTTGCTACATGATACATTTATTGTATATTATATTACATTGTATATTATATTAAATAATAGGCTAAACTTAAAAAAAAGAATCAAATAAAATGACTACAGGTTATGAAAGTGCTGTGAAGGGAAATGAGCGAGAAACTGTCACAGGAGGTGTCCCTGCACTTAGGGGTCAGGAAGGACCTGGAGGGGAGGCACCCTTAATAGGTGGAAGAACATTCTAGAAGTGGGGAGAGGCGAGAAAAGGAGAAAAACAGCCCTGTGTGGGGCAGAGCTGAGGGTTGCCCGGAGCTTGAGAGAGGGGTGGGAGGTTCAAGGGGCCAGAGACTCACGTGAGACAGGGACGCAGCAGAGGCGCATGTGCACAGCCTGCAGAACAGGGGCGCTTGCAGTGAAGGGTCTGAATGCTTCCTGTTGCTTTTCTAGGGAGCACACCCCTGTCCATGAGGTTAAGGTTACTCCCCTCTTCCGCTACCGCTAGTTCAACTCCACCTGCCATTGGGTTCCCAGGAATCTAATGAGAGTTCGGAGTCAGGACTGAGCCATCCAGGCACTCCCAGGTCTCCTCCTGGCTTTGAGGTGTCTTCAGCCTCTGGCCACCCACCTTCCACACAATTCCATGCCCATTTTTGTCACCTGCATTTATATATTTCATTTATTTCCCACTTAGGTTTTATGGCAGGCACACAGAGAAACGCTCAGCTGTCTCAGTATGGACCTCAGCAGACAGGACCATCCATGTCGCCTCATCCTTCTCCCGGAGGCCAGATGCACCCTGGAATCAGTAGCTTTCAGCAGAGTAACTCGAGTGGGGCTTACGGTCCACAGATGAGCCAGTATGGACCACAAGGTAAAAAAGCTTCTCCAAAATGCACCGCAGTAGGTTGTAGAGATTTTGTTATTGTTAGTCCTTCAGGATCATACTATGATGAACGTCTTTTACGATCCTGCAGTTTGTGACCTGACAGGTGTGTGAGCTTCCTGCACACCCACAGCCCCTGCACTGCCCACAGTGCCGGGGAGAGTCCCAGGCAGCGTCCATGGCCCTGACCAGCGCTCTCCACGTGCTTTAAGGCTGCAGGATGGATCCTTGTTTCTGTGATGTGCTCGCTGAGAAGGACACACGTCCTGTCCTCAAAAAGTTTCTGGTTAGACTTGGGTTTCATGGTATTGCATTCTGCCTCCCGCCCTCCGTGATCCCTGGGGAGGCCATGCTCAGTACTCAGAGGGTGTCCTCCACCACGTCTTCATGGACAGTTCTCATTTCCCATCACCACCAGCCTTGCTTTCAGAGACAGGACAAACCCTGAAATGGAGACCTGTCTTTCAAGAAGGAAGCTAAGGGAAGAGCAGAGAAATGAATGGAAGCAGGCCAGCATGCACTGCATACAGTCTGCTTCCTAGAAGCTGGCAGATGTTTTGGCATATACAACATAGAATCCTTTCATCAAGGTCTAGGCTGATAAAAGTCCCTTTTCCCTCTAAGTCCCTTTTAGCAACAAGACATTTGAATTTAGCACCTTCTTTATATTTGATTATTTTAACTAGACATTAATGGTTGGTTCACAGAGAATGACACAGTCTGGCACAATTCCCACTGTCCTCACTTCTGAGAAGACCAGGAACATTGTAGGTGAAGATGCTGAGTCTACCAGGAAGCTGTAATTGGAGGCTTACCATCCACAGCACCTGGGTCTCTTGTGGGAAAGCCTGACACTTCTGGAGATGTTTGCAACTGTAGCAAACCAGGCTCTCCTGAGGCTGTTGAGCTTCTCCAGCCATTGGGTGGGCGCCAGCATGAGGTGGGAGCTGGCAGCCTCTAGGCTCTGTAACCACGACCCCAAGATCAGCCTTCTCTCCCGGCACTTCGCAGTTTGAAAACTGAGTTATCAGGGTGTTGTCTTGGTTTTTGAAGGTCCCTTTCTGAGGGAACTTAAGCACCTCAACACTACCATTGTTTCCCTGGCCTTCCGTTGCTTTGTTATGTTACATTCTAGCCAGTTCTGTTTTTAGGGGGACTCAGAGCCGTCAGAACCAGAATGTAGAACCGCCCGTTCCTGCTGCCTTGGTCTAGGCACGTGTCAGGTGGCGGGAGACTAGCCGCCTGAGCCCCTCCACGCGTGCCGTGCGTGGCTTTCCATGGCGTTCGTTCTCGTGAACCCTGGGCGTTAGGTCCCAAAAGACAGTAACCTCTGCCCTGCTCCCCATGAGCCCCAGATCACCGGGACTCTTGGCCGTCTGCACCTGAGCTGAGCAGGACATGCGTCCCTGGGCCACTGAGTGCCCACCTGCCGGTACCCCCTGGGCATGGTGCGCATCTTAAACTGGGCTTCACTAGCTTTTGTGAAGAAAAGAAAACTTTCAAGAGACTTCTGAAGGCAGTTTTCAAGTTGTGAAGTGCACAGAAAATGTGGACTTTGGCCCAGAATGTAACTGAGACAGTCTGAGCCTTGTTCTTGCATTGGGGGCTACCTGGAGTTCAGGACTTACCATGACTGTACTGAGGACGGGTGTGACCTTGTGGGGTGGGCTCTGCATGCTCAGGTGCTCCGCCTTAGCCTCCCCGCTCTGCCTGCTCCTCGCCCCTGGGGCCCAGCCAGCCTGGGAGTCCTGGAACTAAGTCAGGAAGCACTTCCGCTTCCCACTTGCACTCAGGAAGCGATTTCCCGTCGGCTGAAGTCAGCCAAGGTGATTTCTATAGGATAGATTTCATTTTTGAACAAGACCTGTTTTCCAGGTCATTGAACATTGATTCCTGACTGTCGAGCACTGACTCTGCGGGGCTCTCCCGTCCGCGCTGCTGTGTGTGCTGGGGAAACGGCTGACTCTCGAGTTACTTTCCTCTAGAAAGTGAACATGTTAGACTGTCACCTTAACGCTACTGCTCTCAGGTCTGCATTTGGTTCCCCCCCAGAGCCTTTGAAGTTAATGCCGCTCACCAGTCCAATGCACGAGGACACTCAGTCAAGCCAGGGGTCTCTGGCATGGGTTGGCTTCCAAGGCGTCCAGTTGGTGTTAGAAACCATGTCAAAGAAGGATAATCCTTTCCATAGTCAGTGCTTTCCCACTTGGGGACACTGTGGGCGCCGTCTGCTGGGCTCCTTGACTGTCCGATGCTGTGTGTTTAACATCAGGGTCCCCCTGTTCTCTGTGCTCGGGTCAGAATCGTTGGCCTTTCCTCCTGCGTTCTCCTCGCCTCAGTAAACACTGACCTGGGAACAGGGATGCCGCAGCTCAGCATCCCTGTGTGCGTCCTTTTAAACAGGGACCCAGATGAAGGAGATATAGATGAATCCACAGATCTATATGATATGTAAAGATAGATAATTTTACTTCCTTCTCTTAATTATCTGCTCAGATTATTACTAAAACATCCAGCTTGCATCTTCATGTCACGCATTCGATGTCCCTGGAGCGTGGCTTGTGCGGTGACCCACACGGGCCAGTCGGCTCGACTTCTGTGTTACTGACTCAGCGATTTCCTTCTGCATTTGCGCTTTCTAAGAGAGCTCGGGGGAGAATACTTGCTACTCTCCTTTGGTAACCATTTTATTTGATGACCATTTTATTGTCAGGAGCAGCGACTCCAAAATTGTTATTAGTAATAGCAACCAACATTCCTTAAGTGTTTCTGTGGCCTCAGTGCTACTCTGATCAACTCCCCAGCCCTCACAGCGCGGCGTATGATAGGTGGGTGCTGTTACTGCTCTTCTTAACAGATATGTGACTGAGGCACAGAACCATAAGCAGCTTTACCTGCACACACAGTGGCCGTGCTGGCTTTCAAATTCAGGCAGACTCCCTTGGTCTCTTAATGAACGGGAAGCCCATCACATTATCCTCATTTTGCAAATGAACAGGTTAAGTACTTTATCACGATCCCAGAGCTGGTGAGTGACAGAGCTGGGTTGGTGCCCACTCATGGCGTCACTGGTGTGTCATTCCCCAACCCTGAGGTGACCCTGCTGGCTGCCCACTCATCCATGGAGCTGCCAGCTAAGCAAACTACTTGCCTTCAAGAAGCAAGGATCATTTTAGACACGCGGACTTGGGAATCCATCAAAAAATACTAAAGGGGTTGAGGGGAACATTTCCTACAAAGTTAAGAAGGGGAAAATATTAGAAATAAATATTAGTACTGTAATATTTGAATTATTAGATGAACGAATAGGCTGAAATCTACCGAAATGTGTAAAAATGTTTGATTACAGTATATTTTATAAATAGCATTTTTCTGCCTTCAAGCAAGCACATATAGTAACTGCCCTTACAACTGCCCCTGATGCCAGGAGAGGGGACCATAGGGCCTGGCTTTAATAAATAGAAAGAAATTATATAATTGACATGTTAATTGTTAATAATTTTGTATGGGAAAAGCAAGCAGATACCAGTTTCATCTCCAGACCTTTATATTTCTTCAGAAAAGAAGACTCTCATTGTTTCTTGTGTTCTTTAGGCCTGTGTCACACTGACTATCCACAGGTGGCTCTTGCATGTTTGTTACTATTGCAAAACATGAAGGTCCAACCTCAGTTTGCCATGAATAAGCTGTTTTACCTCGGGCAATGAAGGATTCTGAGATTGATTCCCCTAGTTACCACGCAACTGTATGCCACGTCCAGGCCCCACAAGGCTGCCCCGGTCGAGAGCATACCTAGCCCTGGTTTTATGTCTCAGTGTGTGCAGCATGTGTCTTTGGAACAGGGGCTTTGGAAGTTGGTGAGTCTGATGAGTCATTTCTACATTACTTGGTAAAAGGTGTTTTTCACAAGCGTGTAAAGGTTTCTTCTCCAAGATAAATTAGATGTCATCTGAAATCTTCCTTTTCCCTTCATTCATTAGAATATTTTCCTCCTAAATTCAGTAGAGGCAACTCTAAATGATATTCAGGTGAAATGGATGCAGTACCAAAAGAGTGAATTACACATTAATAAAATTACAATCCTCTCAATTCCAGAGGAAGGTCATAGAGATGTCAGCAGTTGGTGGCCCATGTTGCGGTCCTTCAGAAGTCCCAGCTTTAATAAATAGTGTCACCCTGACCCAGGACTTGAGACTCTGCTCTTGTAAATCCAGAACCTCAGCCATATCATGAATGACACTAAATGCAGTCTCTCTCCTGCAGGAGTGAGGTGTGCCTGCCTTGTGGATTCACTTCTGAGCACACTTCCCCTGGGCGTTCTTGCTCTTTGGCTTCATATGACTGGTTTCTGTGCTGGTCATTTTCCTCTATAGCTTGCTTTTTTTTTTTTTCTGTAACAGGTTGTAATTACTAGATATGTTTCCAGCTTCCTGTTATCTCAGCCTGTTTTTTATGGTTAAATTATCAATGCCGGGCAAAAGTGCATGTTCTGCACTGTTTTGTTGTGAAAGCTATATGCTAAAGCTGCTAGCTAACATTAGCAAAAACAAACTGAAGTAGATCAATTCATGGCAAAAGGTAGTTATGCAGTCTTCTTTTTTAGTCTCAAATTTAACCTTCCAGTTATAAAATTGAAGCATGACTATTCTTAAGGGACCGATAAGCATCATGATTTTATCAAAACTTGGGAATTAGCAAAGAAGTAAAGGAAAACTTAGAGCACAAGTGAACTTACAAATATTTAAAGAAATTTAAAATAATAAAGCAACGTTTATTTTGATCATTGTGAAGCTAAGTATTTTCCTTTGCTAAGCATGCCAGCGATACTGCAGTGCGTGACATTGTAGGGTAAGTGAAGTTGGTCAGGCTTTTGCACCATTGGGCTCTTTGGCTATCACCTGCGGCCTTGAATGCAGAAGGCACTTGGGAGTGTGGATGCGGGGCAGGCATGCCTGATTATGCACACCTGCATTATGGTGTGGGCATGT